AGAGTAAGGTTTACATACTACCTTCCCACCACCTCTCCCATCTTCCTCGACACTGTAAAAGCTCTTTCATACCTCTTTTATGTGAGATATGATTTATGATTTCTCTTTCCTGTTTGCCTTTTCATGCTTCTCTTGAGTCTTTCTTGTATTTGAAAATCAAATTTGCTATTCAGCTCTGGTCTTTTCATCAGGAATTCTTGAAAGTCCTCTATTTCATTGAATATCCATTTTTCACCCTGAAGGATTATACTGTTTTCCTAAGTAGATGATTCTTCGTTGTGATCCTAGTTCCTTTGCCCTCTGGAATATCATATTCCAAGTCCTTCAATTCTTTAATGTAGAAACTGTTAAATTTTGTGTTATTCTTACTGTGACTCGACAGTATTTGAATTGTTTCTTTCTGCTTACTTGCAATATTTTTTCTTTGACCTTGGAGCTCTGTAATTTGGCTTTAACATTCCTGGGAGTTTTTGTTTTGGGAACTCTGTCAGGAGGTGATAGGTAGATTTCTTTCAATGTCTATTATATTCTCTGGTTCTAGGATATCAAGGCAGTTTTCCTTGATAATTTTTAAAGATGGTGTCTAGGCTCTCTCTTTTTTTTAAAATCATAGTTTTCAGATAATCCAATAACTCTTAAATTATCTGTCCTGAATCAATTTTCCAATTCATTTTTTTCCCAATGAGATCCTTTATATTTTCTTCTATTTTTTCATTCTTTTGATTTTGTTTTATTGCTTCTTGATGTCTCATGGAGTCATTAGTTTCCACTTGAACAATTCTAATTTTTTTTTTGCTTTTTTGGTGAGGCAATCAGGGTTAAGTGACTAGCCCAGGGTCACACAGTTAGTAAGTGTCAAGTGTCTGAGGTTGGATTTGAACTCAGGTCCTTCTGACTCCAAGGCCAGAGCTCTATCCACTGTGCCCCCTAGCTGCCTCTCCAGTTCTAATTTTTAAGGAATGATTTTTTTTCAGTGAGCTTTTGTATCTCCTTTTCCATTTGGCCAATTCTACTTTTTAAGGAGTTCTTTTCTTCAGTGAATTTTTGTACATCTTTTTTCCATTTGACCAATTCTGCTTTTGATGGAGTTCTCTTTAGTGAGTTTTTGTGCCTCTTTTACCATTTGGCCTATTATGCTTTTTAAGGTGTTATTTTCTTCAATATTTTTGTTGTGCCTACTTTTAACAAGTTGCTGGGTCTTTTTTCCCCATGATTTTCTTGCATCACTCTCATTTCTTTTCTCTTTTTCCTCTACCTCTCTTATTTGATTTTTAAACTCCTTTTTGAGCTTTTCCAGGAATTCTTTTTGGGTCTGAGACCAATTCACATTTTTTTTTTTAAGGCTTTGGATGTAGCAGTTTTGACATTGTTCTCTTCTGAGTTTGTGTTTTGATCTTCCCTGTGACCAGACTAACTTGTTATGGTCAGAATAATTTTTTTTTGTTTATTCATTTTCCCTTCTGATTACTTGACTTTTAAATTTATATTAAAATTGGGCTCTGCTCTTGGGGTGGAGGGGACATTGTCCCAAGCTTTAGGTTTTTTTATGCATCTAGTTCTGCATTTCTTCCAAGGCAGTATGTTCTAAGAGGTGTGTTTACTACTCTCCCAGCCTGTGCACTGGTCTATGAAGGACTACAAGCACTCTTTTCTGCCTTGGAACTGTGACCAGGGTGCCTGCTCCCTTGGGGCTGCAAGCTTTGGTGTTCTGGTGTTCCTCCCCATCCTATGACTGTGACTCAGGACTGAAACCTGGATTTGAGTATTGGCAATGCAACAGTCTGCTCCCAGTGCCAGCAAAGGGACCCCTGTAATCTCCTTCTGACTAGGTGTCTGAGCCACTTACCATCTGTGGGCTGAGAGCTCTGGAAGCTGCTGCTGCTGATTCATTCACACACACACACACACAAACACACACCACAGCCTGCTGCTAGTTTGTTCACCAATAGACCTTTCCTACTGACTTTCTAAGTTGTCTTGGACTGGAAAATCATTTTACCCCATCCTTTTGTGGTTTCTGCTGCTCCAGAATTTGTTTAGAGGCATTATTTAAAGTTGTTTGGAGGGGAATTTGGGAGCACTCGGGTAAGTCCCTACTTTTTTACTACCATCTTGGCTCCACCCCACCCCCTCAAACTCCTTTCACAAAATTTCTGTGATACATTTTTTGCTGTACAAAAAAAATTTTTTTAAAGATAATTAAAACCATCTATTTTGTCTCCAATAATTTCTTCATTAATTTATAGACAAGAATTTTTATCTTGTCCATAATTTTGTTATTTTGATAAGTTTTATACTTTAAATAAAATCATAGCTGACATTTATATTTAGGTCACAACAACATTGTGAGGCAGGTACAACATGCCCTACTATCTCCATTTTACAGATAAGGAAACACAGACTCAAAGAGATTAAGTGAATTTGCTGATACTATTAGAGTGAAATATGAACCAAAGCCTCTTGACTTCAGGATTCAGTTCTACTATATCAGATTGCATCTCTGGTTAAGATAATGAATCCACTTGGAACGTATATAGTGTACAGTGTAAATGTTTGATCTCATTTTTGTCAGCTGCGATACAATTTTCCCTACAGTTTTTTAACTGAATTATGATTGACAAAAAAAAAAAAAAGGAAAATGACATGCTAACGGGGCTATGGGAAAACTCTCAATGCTAATTTATCTGATTCTGTGAAATAGGCCATTCATATTTTGCTTCATATGGAATTAAACCAGTTTTGGTTAGTATTGATATTTTTACAATATTAGATCAAAATAGTCAGGAACATGTAAAATCCCTCAAATTATTTAAATAATCTTTTTTGTAATAGTGAATATATCTTGTAGTTATCTTTATATAGGTCTTGTGCATGGTTTGTTAAAGTGAAGCCAAGTATTTGATACTTTTTTTTATTATTATAAATGACATTTTTTTTTCCTTTGAGTTTCTCTAGATTTCTCTAACAGTGATCATTTGTGGGGGGTGTATTATATTTTGTTCTCAGGTACTCATGCTCTGCTAAAACCATCTTATTTGGGGAACAATGCAATTAGTCTTGAATCCAGAGGTAAACCTAATGCCAACTGTGTCTCATATCCCTTGTGAGAAGCAGAATCATATAATTGATGGAGAACTGGGCTAACATTAGAGGGGACCAGAATTCAAGTCTCACTTCTTTTGTTTTGTTTTGTTTTGTTTTTGCTAGGCAATGGGGTTAAGTGACTTGCCCAGGGTCACACAGCTAGTAAGTGTCAAGTGTCTGAGGCTGGATTTGAACTTTGGTCCTCCTGCCTCCAGAACCAGTGCTCTATTCACTGTGCTACCTCACTGCCTCTAATATGTATTAGTTTGTTAATTTTGTGAGGTGATAATGATCATTATCTCTACTCTTGCCCTCCTGTAATGTTTTTCTTTTCTTTTCTTTTCTTTTTAACTTTTTAAGCCTATAAATTGCAGAGAAGTTGCAAATCTGTATTGGTAGAAGGAGTTTCCAATACCAATGAACTCATAGGTCTAGAACAACATCAACAACAAAATCTTCATATACCGTATATCTTTGTGAGCCTCTGGAGGCAGGACAACCTAACTTGCCTGCATCAACATTAATCAAGGAAATTGGTCTATAGTTTTCTTCCTCTGTTTTCATTCTTAGTGGTTTAGGTATCAGAACCATATTTGTGTCATAAAAAGAAATTGGTAGGACTCCTTCTTTGTCTATTTTTCCAAATAGTTTACATAATATTGGGATTAATTGTTCTCCAAATGTTTGGTAGAATTCATTTGTGAATCCATCTGGTCTTGGGGATTTTTTTCTTAGGGATGTCATTTATGGCTTGTTCAATTTCTACTTCTAAGATAGGGTTATTTAAGCATTGTATTTCCTCTTCTGTTAATCCGGGCAATTTATATTTTTTGTGACTATTCATCTATTTCACTTAGATTGTCAAATATATTGGTGTATAACTGAGCAAAAAACTCCTACTAATTGCTCTAATTTCCTCTTCATTGGTATGAATTCACCCTTTCCATTTTTGAGACTGGTCATTTGGTTTTCTTCTTTCTTTTAAATCAAATTAACCAATGGTTTATCGATTTTATTAGTTTTTGTTTCTTTGTTTGTTTTGGTGAGGCAGTTGGGGTTAAATGACTTGCCCAGAGTACCACAGCTAGTGAGTGTTATGTGTCTGAGGTTGGATTTGAACTCAGGTCCTCCTGAGTCCAGGGTCAGTGCTCTATCCACTGCACCACCTAGCTGCCCCCTATTTTATTAGTTTTGTTTTCATAAGCCAGCTCCTAGTTTTATTTACTAGTTCAGTGTCTTTCTTAATTTCAATTTTATTGCCACAAGTCTCTCCCCACTCCAGTCCATTCTCCCTACAGTGATTTTCCTTAAAGTACAGGTTCCATCATATCACACACCCCATCTCCATACCCAATAAACTCCAGTGCCTCCCTAACACCTCTAAGATCAAACATAAAATCCTACTTAGTATCAAAGCTCTTCATAACCTAGGCCCCTTCAACTTTTCCATTCTTGCACTTCACACTCTGCCACAGTGATACTGGTCTCTTTGCTCAAACAAAATACCTCATCTCCCAACTCCAGGCATTTTCACTGGCTGTTCTCCATTTCTGGAATGTTCTTTTTTGCTCATCTCTGCCTATTATTGGTTTTCCTGGCTTCCTTCAATTCCTAGCTAAAATCTCACTTTTTACAGGAAGCCTTTCCCAACCCCTCTTAATTCTAATGCCTTCCCTCTGTTGATTATTTCTAATTTACCCTTCACATAGCTTGTTTGTATATTTTTTTGTTTTGTTTTGGTTTGGTTTTTTTGCATGTTTTTTGCACTCCCATTAGATTGTGAGGTCCCTGAGGGCAAGGTCTATTTTATTCCTTTTTCTGTGCTATTAATGTGAATCTGTATGAAGACTTCATGAATATCAGTTTGCTAAATTTGTATTTTATTTGAATTTGGATTTAGAAACTACATTCGAGCTATGGGAAAAGGAAACCAATCCACTGTCATGGAATTTCTTCTCCTGGGACTTTCTAGTCAGCCAGAGCACCAACAACTCATCTTTGTATTATTTCTATTTATGTATTTGATCACGATTCTAGGGAACCTTCTCATCATCCTGGCCATAGTTACAGATTCTCACCTTCACATTCCCATGTACTTCTTCCTTAGCAACTTGTCCTTTGTTGATATCTGTTTCACTTCAACCACAGTTCCCAAGATGTTAGTGAATCATGTAACTGGAAGTAAGTCTATACCTTTTGGAGGATGTCTGACACAAATGTACTTTTTATTTGTATTTGCAGACATGGACAATTTCCTTCTGGCTGTTATGGCCTATGACCGATTTGTGGCTATATGCCATCCCTTACACTATGCTACAAAGATGACCCATCATCTCTGTGCCCTTCTGACTGTTGGATCCTGGATTGTTGCTGATCTGAATGCCCTATTGCATACTCTCCTAATGGCTAATCTCACCTTCTGTGACAATAATGTCATCCCACATTTTTTCTGTGATGTGTCTCCTCTCATGAAGCTTTCCTGTTCTGATCCCTCGCTTAATGAAATGGTAATTTTTACAGAGGGAGGGTTGATAATGATCACCCCATTTATCTGTATCTTGACCTCTTATATCCATATTGCCTCTGCTGTCCTGAGAATTCCCTCCATGAAGGGAAAATGGAAAGCCTCTTCCACCTGTGGGTCCCACCTTGCTGTGGTCACCCTCTTCTATGGTACCATTATTGCTGTGTATTTTAGTCCCTCTTCCACTCACTCAACAAAGAAAGATACAGCAGCAACTGTGATGTACACAGTGGTGACCCCCATGTTGAACCCCTTTATCTATAGCTTGAGAAATCAAGACATGAAAAGGGCCCTGACAAAAATGGTTGGTAGGAAAAATCCCTGTTTGACACTCTCATCAGTGGTTCCATAGACCATGACAGACTGGGATTGATTCTGTGTTTTCATTAATATGGAGAAGTCCCAGATAAGTAAACTCCCTCTACCAATGTAGGTTAGTATCTTCCCTGTAATTTAATCTTAGAATGTTGCCTAGGGCATCGAAAGGTTAAGTGACTTGCCCAGGGTCATACAGCCAATAGGTGTCAGAGGCAGGACTTCAGTCCACATGTTCCTAGTGCTCAGGACAGATTTCTACTCACTATGATATAGTTGTCTCTTCTAGAGTCCATTGAGAAATAATAGCAACTCACATTTATGTCATATGTTGAGATTTCAAAGCTCTTTCCTCAAAACATCTCTTTGGGAGATGAGTTAATATAAGATTGGGATTTTTTTTTTATCCTGGTCTGTGATTTCATCAGTGTGGGAACTGCCTAGAGTAGCAATACCTACACTTAACACCAATGATTTAGAGTCTTAAGAGAGTTGCCTAGGGTTGTAAGAGGTTAAGTGAATTTCCCAGAGCCATTTTGCAGCACCAGAACTTGAACCCTGGTCTTCTAGAACCAAGAATAGCTCTCTCTTCACTACTCCATGATGCTTACCTGTTTGGACATTATTATCATATTTTATCGATGATGAAACTGAGACTCTGAGAAGTTAAATAACTTGTACATGAGTACATAGCTCTTAATTATCTAAGGTGAGATCTGAACCTATTCCTCCTGAATTCACATCCAAGACTTTACCCACTATTTCATGCAGCCAGAAAAGCTAGTTGTGGCAATGAAGGCAATTGTTTTGTATGAGACAGTACTCTCTCTGAGTCATCTCTAACCTGAATGGAAAGAACTCTTGTTGTCTATGCAAGTGTGTAGGCTATGTGTGTATAGATGTGGGGAGGGATACCTAATACTGAATTCTTATCTCCAAAACTTAGGTTTTTACATTTATCAAACACAAAGTTACTATTGTCATTCGCTGCTATAAATTGTATATCTACTTTGTACCTTTTTTTCTTTAAAGGAAGCTTTATGTAATATAGAGTTATGTTTTCACATATAAATGTTCTTGTTCCATTTTGTATATGGAAATGTTCTTTTTTTAGTGTTGGTTAAATTCTGAATTTTAAAAAAAAATTTAATTTGAAAAACATTGTCCCCATTTCACGGATGAGGAAATCAGACACAGGGAGGTTAAGTTACTTGCTCAGGGTCACACAGCAGCTAGTGTCCGTGGTAAGATTCAAACTCTAGTCATCCTGACTCCAAGTCTGGCACTCTGTTCACTGTGTCACCTAGCAACCTCAATAGAAAGTGTTAAGACACCTGATCTTTCGGACCAGTTCTGCCACTGAGGGTTTGCATGGCCGTGGACAAATCAGTTTCTCTCTCCTCATCTTAGTTGCACCATCTGTAAAATGAAGAGGCTAAATTAGATGATCATTAAGGTATATCAAGACCTCTTTCAGTTCTGACATTCTTTGACTCTGCTTTATACTCTGATTTGAAAGATAACCCCTAGGAATAAAAAAATTTGGTTTTAAAGTATCATCTAGTTTTAGTATTTAAGTTTATAATCTGTTTCCTTTTCTTTTCTTATTGTGTATTTAAATTTTAGTATTCAAATTTAAAATAGATCAAGTTTTTTGAAAATATCACCTGGGGTAGCTAGGCGGCGCAGTGGATAGAGCTCCGGCATTGGAGTCAGATGCTTGACACTACTTACCTGGGCAAATCACTTAACCCCTATTGCCTCAACAAAAAACAAAAAAAGAAAGAAAGAAAAGAAAAAGAAAAAAAATCGCCTGAACAAAGAAAGAAACAAGACAGCTCTCTCAGGCTGAAGAAAGAGGGTGTTGATCTTGGATGAAAATTGGTAACAACCAGGACTTCTTTTTTTTTAATTTTACTTATCTTATTCTGAAAGTAAGAAATAAAATGAGCATTTCCACAACATAGAATAGTAAAAAAAAAAAAAAAAAAAAAAAGATAATTGCATATGAAATGGCAAATCTATTACGTACAACTTGGTATTCCTTTTAAGTATATAATAAAGTTATCATGTAACTTTCTTTTTTTCTCCCCCTTGAAGTAAGGTATAGCTTCACATAGGGTACAGTGGAAAGACTGTGGCTTTGGACTCAAAGGACCAGTTTGAATCTCAGTTCTGACCTTAGGCCAAGACACGGTTTTCTAGGCTTCAGTTCTCACTCACTTTAGCGCCCTAGCTCTAATAATCCATGATGCAGCTGGTGCCATGAGATTAAGGGAAGTGGCTCCTCAGCCCTGTTTTATATATTGACTTATATGTTCCTCATTTCACTGAATCACAAAATTCCTGAATTAGAAGTGTTTGGGGGAATTTTTTTATTTCCTTTTATTATTTAGGACTCAGGGCTATTCCTCTTGCAATTTTCTTTTACCTAAATGTCTGTTTTAATATTAACTTCACCTGGACAAAAGTTGTCCCATGGCATGTAAAAAGTTACTTAAGCCTTAAGTATTCCATAGATAAGAAGCCTTGAAGAAGAAGAATTTCAACTGCCTTGGGACTCCTCAGTGACATGTAAATTCAGTTCAGTTGTTTTACAGTTGTGTCTGACTCTTTGTGACCCAATTTGGGTTTGTTTGTTTTGGGTTTTTGTTTTTTTTTTTGGCAAAAATACTAAAGTGGTTTGCCATTTCCTTTTCCAGCTCATTTTACAAATGAGGAAACTGAGGCAAAATTAAGTGATTTGCCCAGGGTCACACAGCTAGTAAGTGTCTGAGGCCAGATTTGAACTCAGGAAGATTTATCTTCCTGACTCCAAGCTGGGCAGCCTATCCACTGGGCCACCTAGCTGACACCAACCTGCTCTCAATATGTAAATCCTCCTCCTTAATCAGTTTGTGAATTCTCTAAATGTAGTTTAAACTGTAACCTGACTTAGTTTACCTATAGAGTTTGTTTGATGACATTTGTTTCCTTAGGTGAGGTTTGAGATTATGACTCTTTTTAACTAAGTTCATTCAACTTTTACGACGTTGAAGGAAGTATAGGACTTTGGACCTGTCTTCTCTTTAACTTCTATGGCCTAAAAGGAATATACAAGATCGAATATATAAAAGAATCATTTCTCCGTCACTCTGACATAATTTTGTCCTCAGGTTTTCTCTGAGGCCTGAACCTATACTTGAGCATAATAATAAAACCTAGGTTTTCTTCCTCCATAATTTCTGTGCTGTGATGAATATATATGTGAAAAAACATATATGTAAATATATATGTCACCTACCACATGAACTGAGAGCAGAGATAGTTCTTCCACAACAAAAGGGACCTCAGTGGTCATCAGATCAGCCCACACCTGAAAAAGAATCATCTTTTTAACCTTCTCCATAAGTTTTAGCCAACCTTTGCTGAAAGACTCTTATGAAGGGAAACCTATTATATTTGAAGGCAGTCCATTTAACGTTTGGAAAACTTGGTTAGAAAGTTTTTCTTGACTAATGATGGGGTTGGGATCTGGGCCCCAGACAGGAAAACCCCTGGACTTTGCCACAAGGCCAAATCTCTGGCGTTAGCCTAAGGCTATAATCCCATCAACTGGCCTCTCATTGTGGCTACACCCAATCTCCCAATTCTGTTAACCTAGCCTGGCCTTCCTTTGTTTTACCTCCCTATGTAAGGCCCCCAACCATTTCCTACCCTTAATCCTAGCTAGGCTCCATTTTCCCTTGGCTGAAAGGTTCAGGTCCCAGGAGTTCTGTTCACCCCAGTTTACTGGCCACTCCTAGGTCCCTCTCAGAGTCTTTCTGTATATAGGGTCCACCTTGTCTCCATTAAGATGCTCAGATTCCTAAAATCTAGCCATTGCTTAGATTCTTATAATCTAGCCACTCCTCACTCATGTTCAGACTCCTTAAGAGTCTGCCCAATATGACAATGTTCTAAAAACCTTGTCTTTGGCTGAAAGAAGACTTGGGTCGAATTCTTTCAGGCAGGATCTGCATGTTATGTACGATTTTGGGGTCCCAGGACCCCTGAACCCCTAAACCGCATCAACTACAAGCCTAAATTTGCCTGTTATTTCAGGAACTCTCCCCTCTTCTATACCTTCTTTTTCTCCTTTAGTCCCAGATCTCAAAAAGATTGAATTAAATTGAGATGAAACAAAATTAAATTTTATACAGTGCATTTTTATACACGTGTATCTGGGCTCCCCAAATAGATTTTAAACTCCTTAAAGGAAGACTATGAATTATAAATATATTTTTATCCTTTCACTTCCTTGAAGGTAAAGACTTATACTCTTTGTATCTTCCCTCCCCGCCCCCCATCTTCTTAGTCTCTAGCCTCTGGGAGAACATTTGTCCAAATATGTAACGAAAAATGTTTAGATCAATGACTTCTTTCACTTTGACTCTCCTTAGCTATAGGTAATTTTAGTAAAGAGAAAAATTCTAAAAATGAATGAGAAAAAAGATAAAATAAATAAAATAAAAACCAAATAAACGCACATGATCTTTTGTATTACAGGGAGGAAAATACAAATGCCTGACTATGGGAGGGTCAGGTAGAATAACAAGCACAAAGAACAACCCTGAATATAAATGTCTCATCTCCACCCACATTAGCCTTCTACTTCCCCCTCATCCCCCACCCTGCACCCCTCAAGAAAGGAAGAAACTGTTGATTCAACACAAAGAATTTCGAACTAGGAAAATTTACATAGACTGCAAGATTGAGGCTGGTTCTCCCCTCACTACCCCATACTTCCCCTCCATATGGGCCTTTTCACAAAATAAAATTGTAGGGGCAATAGAGACTCAGTCAGTCAAGAAGTATGTATTAAATACTTACAATTTTCCAGGCATAGTGCTAAGTGCTGTGGATACAACTAAAGGTAAAAACATTCCCTGCCTTCAAGGAATTCATATTTTAATGGGGGAGACAACCTGAATATAACCACATATATAACAAGAATATTAGCATAGGTTTAAGTTAATCTTCCTTAGGGCAACTTGGTGGCACAGTGGAGAGGATGCT